AGAAAGAAAGAAAGAAAGAAAGAAAGAAGAAAGAAAGAAAGAAAGAAAGAAAGAAAGAAAGAAAGAAAGAAAGAAAGAAAGAAAGAAAGAAAGAGAAAGAAAGAGAAAAAAGAAACATACCAATTTTTTTTTTTTAATTTTTGTATTTCAGGACAAGATCTACAGGGTCTACAGTACAGGGTCTCACTGCATAGATTGGGCTCTTTGTGATCCTCCTGTTTACAGCCTTCCAAGTGCTAGGATTACAGGCATGCACCACCATGCCCAGTCTCAATTTCTGTCTCAGTGCACCCCAAGGGCAGGGAGGGCCCCGGGATTGTACTCCCAACCCCTGCATCTGCCTAAGCAGGCACTTTAGTCTGCTGAGCTATTTGACCGACCTACATACCAACTTAATAAGAATATCAATTTAATTTAATAAGGAGAACAATTTCCCCTTGATAGGTAAAATTATCTTTGACTTCAACACTTTCAACACCTCTATTTAATCAATCATCCCTGTACTACGTTTATACTTTTTCCAACTCTAATACTTCTTTGTGTTTCATTACCTTTCTGTAATGACAAACACAGTTGGTTTGCTTCATTCCACTTAGATGGAGTGCCCACTACAGAGGGAGCATCCCTTAAAAAGCCACCACCCTGCCCTTTGCACTGCCCTTCCAACCCACCTTGAGAACTGCAAACACCTCCGGAGCAAGACAGCCTTCTAGTTGAGCGAAATCAATTGGGATTCTGAATCCAATTTCCCGTCTTTCCAGTCTCTCCCTTTCATGAGATCAACCTGATTTGTGATGTTTTTGAAAGGGGAAAGTGAGATTTGAAGCCTCTAAGATAGATCCTTAGACCAGTTGTCATTTCTAACTTTATTTTCCCTTCAGCATATTTTCATCATTTTCTATCTAAAGCAACTTCAAGAACTTTGTGGAAAGTTTAGTTACTGCTCCCATTCCTCACTTAATAAGAGTCCTTTCTTTATCTTTTCCCCATTTATTTTCTCAAGCTTAGCAACTGTGATTTCCTCAGTTATTGTGAGTTCAAGGGTAAAATTTGGTTTTGCATAAAACCAAAATTGTTTTTTGGTTTTCTCTTTCTTTGATATGCAGAGGTGGTTTCACCCCAATTTATTACCTACTTCTTTCTAGGAGTGTTTAGTGAAATTTCATTCTGAAATTCCTAATTCCTAAGCCCATGGGTTTCCCCCAAGAAGGACAAACTGAATTTAGTGCTGAGTGTAGTAGGTTTCAGATTTACAATGATTCTTTGAGCAAATGTTTTCTGATTGTGGTCCTCTGACATCCCAGCAACCCTTCTCACATCTGACTGCCCTCACCTTTCTGTTCTTTTCATCCTCCATGACCATTATGCTCTGGAGCCTCTGGCATCTCTGTGCTTGTCCTCTACCACTTCCCACAATCCTCTGCCACTTCCCACAGTTCTCTGCCTCTCTGTAATCCCCAGTATCCTCCTTCCTGATAAATTTAAACATTCATATTCAATAATGGAACTTAGAAAAAATGGGGTATACAGATGAATGTCCATTTTGTATCTGTGTATTCAAAGTGGTTGGGATAGATATATAGTTACATTCTGTTAATGAATAGAATGATTTGTTCTAATGGTGTTTGTAAATAGGATCACAAGTCCGCATCTTGTACAGCAATTAACCACTAAGAAGAATATATGCAGTGTATTATTTGTTAAAAAAGAAAAAAAATAAAGAAAAACAAGTTGCATTCTGAGGCTATGAAGATCCACAGTACAGTAAAACATTTGGGAAGAAAGAAAGGGGGAGGAGGAGAAGAATGACCACATACCCATAATTTTTATTACAATATACTGTTATTATAATTGTCCTATTTCATTGTAATTGTTCTATTATTAGGTACCATCTTTAATCTTTTACTTCCCTTAATTTATAAATTAAACTTTGTCATAGTATATGAAAAAAAAATTTAAACATTCCCTGGAATCTCATAAATTTCTCCTGTAAAACTTTCCCCTGAGCTGTACTATTTCTGTGTTTCCCACTGTTTTCCATACAAGTAGTGTAGATTCTTGTATGCATAGTGCTTTTCAGATCCCAGAACTGCATTTCCAACTGTATTTTGGAGGTTTTTACTTAATATACCAAAATTCAGTTTGACCAAAATAAAATCTTTCTCCCTAAATAAACAACTAACCACTATCCGTGCACTTTCCAATCTTCTTAATGGTCCTACCATCTTCAGAGATGACAACTTTCGACATATTCCAATCCTCTTTCCCCTATTAGTTCTACCTCATCGGTATAGCTATGTGCCATGGGTTAGATCTTTCTGTCTTCTTGTTTGAATGATGAAAGTGTTCCCTATGTGGTCTCCTGCTCACTGCCTCCCCTCATCTAATCCATCCTGCACCCTGCCTATGAGGTGATCTCTCTAAGGCACAGCATATCTGAAGCAGAACGCTTAGAACTCCAGAGCTGCCTTCTCCAAATTTATTTGCCAAACCACTGGCTGCAGAAACAGGCTAAAGTGCACATCATAGCTGGATATGGTGGTGCACACCAGTAATCTCAGCACTCAGGAGTCTGAGGCAGGAGGGTTGATGCATATTTGAGACCAGACAGCTCAAGGCCAACCTGAATTGCATAGCAATACCCTATCTCAAAAAGATACACAGAATAAAATAAAATAAAATACAAATATAGTAAGTGTTTTGTGCACAATTAAAATGCTTCAGTGTCCTTCTTTTCTCCCTGGGTTAAAATTAAATTGTTTAGCTTGGTATCAGTGCCTATTTTACAACCTTTGTTCAAACCATTCCAAGCTTATGAGTGATAAAGTTAAATTAGGTAATGCCCCTAAAGAATAGTTATCTTAAATCAGATCCGCACGTGGAAACATCATATTGTCTCCCTAGTGTAAGAACCTGAAAGAATAAATAAAATTTGAAAGGTACAATAGATACTGTGAAAGAGAAAGAATCTGTTCGAAGGGGAGGAACAACTGGGATGAGAGAAAGGACAAAATAAAGAAAATAGAAGGGGAAAATACATATTTATGTACATATACAGAATACCTTGGATAACTGTACTGCTGATTTTTGCTAGTCAGTTGAAAGGAGAGTTAATTGTTACATTTTTCTTCTTCCATTTAATTTCTTATAACTTTTAAAACCAATTTTGCATGCTTATATCTAATAATGTAAACAACTAATTTGAAGACAACATTGTGCAACATAAAAACGATAGTTGAATTCCTACTATTTTGTCGAGTGAAATTCTGTATCTTTTGTTTTCTTCAACTATTTTTTATTCTCTTTAAAAATACAAATTTTTAAAAGAATATCTACCTTAAGCCTTTGCATCGAGGTGTGTGCAGTAATAACAAGGGATGACATCAATTTTTGAAAGCAGGCTGCATAGCTTGTCTGCGCATTCTCAGGCAGCTAGCACCATGTCCCTCAACTGGACACTGAGTTCTGACCTACCTTCTCAGCCCTCCAGCCCATGACCTGCTCTCATGAAAATGTGCTTCAGCCAGAGGACCTTTTTGTCAGTTCCTGCACACACGTGTCTTTACCTGAATAAGTGTCTTTCAGGACTCTCCAGCTGAGCGTCTACTCTTTGTTTTCCATCAGCTAAGCACCAATTCCTCTAAGTTTAGAGCACTGAGACTTTCTATGGTTGTGTGAACTGAATCCAGTCTCTCCTCAACTCAAAAAGTGTTTTCAGTTTCTTAATGTGTCATTTCTGTAAATTATCACCCTCCCAACAGGGAGAGAAAGAGTACAGAACATAGAGGATCAGACACTCTGGGTTTGAATCACAGTTGCAGTCTGCAGGACAACATCTCTCACCCCTTTAATCTTCTTATTTGCCAACCAGTGACCCTTCTGAACACAAATTTACAGTCTACTAGGGAGCATTACACAAAGGTTCTCGTGTACTGTGACAACTTAATTAACTTTGTGTTGCACTTAATACCTTACATATTACCTTACTTTGTAAATATTTGATGAAGGAAGAAGGAAAGGAATAACATATCCCAAAGATATTTTTCCAGCCCTAGATGAGACTGGAGCTCTGAATTATTTTTTGACACTTTTATCTCAGGCAAGTTCATATTTGAGAACACGTTGAGCTGTATAAGCTACAGATTTAAGTTAAACTGTTTAGTTGCAATAACCCAGAATGATGGATGTGGAAGCATGCAGTCTCAACATGCAGTTTTTTGGGTCACTCCGGAGTCATACCTAGATGCCTACTCCTCAGGAAAAGGCATTTTGCAGTGATACTTGTGGTTTTGTTTTTATATTTTGTTTCATTTTCCTAAAAATTCCCAGAGTAGTAGATACAATCTTAGGTCCATGCTATCTTTTTATACTGCTTTCTTGTTGATGTGGTTTTAGTTTCCTGGTTGCACCTTGCTCCTGAATTCTAGCATTTAAGGAGACTTCTTTGTTTCCAGAACCCTAAGACACTCAAAAACACTTAGGTTTTTCTTAAGAGTTTTGCTTATATTTTGCATACCCAGTAGGAGACATGTGCTGGTTTCTAATATTAAGTCTAATTTCTTGCATGCCCTAAATTTGGTAACTTTTTTAAGTATTTAAAAAGTATAATACAGGAACAAAGAGGAAAGCCATCTGGCATTTGTTCTTACTAACACAGAGAAAGACAAACTGCTGCATCTCAAGTCCAGGGTTCAGTGTAGATCTGTCCTGGATGTGCCTCTCCAGTGGGTGTCTCTTCCATTTCTGCATGCACTGTACAGTTGGGGTATAGAACGGACTACATAGAGATAGTGTCTTTTGTCTCTTCTTTTGGAAAATTCCTCTTGCTGTCATACAACTGTACATGATGATTCAGAAGAACAGTGCTAATTTTATGAGGACTGGGTAAGAGTCACTTTTGTCAAGGTGCTGAGTTATTAAGTCCCATCTCTACTTCAGTTGTTCTGCACTCTACCAAAAGAGAAGTTTGCATTTTTTACTAACTCATAGAACATCATGAGTTGGGGAGAAAGTCTATAAAAGCCAATAAGTTCATCCATAATAGCAGATAGAAATAAACTTGCAATAGCAGAATTATTGTACTGTGAGCTCATTACAGACTCATTAACATGACATTGACATTCTCATAAAACAGCTTGATAAGAAGCGCACTAAGTATCTTTGCTGTCTCATTTCTTTTGCAATCAAATCCTCCATTAAAAATGACTGCATAGAGAAGAGGTTTATTGTGGAACTACACCCCCCTCCTTGGTTGATTATGCCCTCGGCAATGGGTGAGCCCGTTCCAGAGCCTAACACATTCATGCTGTTTCATTCCTTTTCCCCGTGCTAGGCAATCGGCGTGCGGTTGAACGAGCTGTGTCATGGGGAGAGTGAGAGCCCAGCCAACCTGCTGGGCCTCATTTATGATGAGGAGACCAAGAAGAGACTGAGAAAGGAGGATGAGGAGGAAGACTTTTTAGATGACAGTAAGGAGACTCCCTTTACTACAAGAACCCCTGCTTGTAAGAACCTCTGCTTGAGGAGCACTTACTATTTCTTTCCTCTCTCATATTTCTACTGCCTTCCCATGATTCCCACCACATTGTGCCCCTCTACCCCTGGGTATGAGTAGAAAGCATGTGCATAAAGCCACACAAAGGGGAGCGAAAAGTAGATGGAGAAGGGAGACGGGCCAAGAGCTGCTGGCCGTGTGGGAAATCCACCACTTTTCCCATCCAACTCTGGCTGTTGTACGTAAATTGACATTGGGTCTCTCTGAAAGCATCACTGTGAGAATATAGTTATAAAGAGTTACTGTCCTAGAAGAGGTCTTGTCACATTTTATTGCTGTTAGTAATAAAAAAGACAAAATAGCACCAAACAGGAAATGTTTTCCAAATCATTAAAATATTTGATCAGGGCATACTACAGTATTTACTACAACCTTAAAATATTCACATCTTTTTGCTTTCACCATGACAGTCTGCGGTACTGTATTAGACTCTTGGTAGCAGAGTAGATACAGAAACCCCTCTGATATTCATCTCTACCATTTTGTGTGTACATTTGCTGTGTACCATGCAAGCATATCTGCATGTGTAGATGTACTTACATGTGTCTATATTCCTTTCATGAGTATAAACTTCCAAACAGGTTACAGAATTAGTGTCTGTATGATGACTGTCTTAGTTGCTTTCTCTCATTGCCGAGACAAACTACTGGATATGCAAAATTAAGGAAAGGATCATTTAGCTCACAGTTTGTAGAGATTTCCTTCTATAATCCACTGGCTCCAAGGCAGGCTGGCATGACACAGGGGCAACTGCTCATGGTGGAGGAAGACAGTGTATGCTGGCTGCCTGCCCGCCCCAGGGTGCTGCAGCACCCACACCACCAATCCCAGCACTAGACGATGAAGCACTCACAAACTCTAGATTCAGCAGCCTCTGAACAGCCCATCCGCACATGGCCACATGAAGCTGTGGGGTGACATCCACACACAAGACACAACAATGACAACAGAGACACCTCTTCCTTTTAACATTCTCTCTCAGTTTAGTACTCAAGTTCCTTGGCTTGATTTTAAGAACTGTTTTTAGTTGATGTCAAATCTACTGCATCCTCCCAGCCATGAAAGGTAGGTAGAGGAGTAGCTAGAATACAGCATGGGGAAGGACTATATAATAGTCCAGAAAAAGCTTTTGGTCTTCCTTTCCACCTCTGTACCAAGGATTTCTTTTTATTTTCCTCATTAATTTTCTTCCTTCCCTTCTAGGACCTCATCAAATCAGGAAAATAAATTTCTTTTGATTTAGTTGTTCACAAAATACCAAATTGTCACATAAATATTTTGGCCTAGTCATGAAAATTGACCCCAAAGATAATCAACACTATCTTATAATGACTCAGAATTGGATTGAACCTGTAGGGAGACTTGTGGACCATCTAACAATCACCAAAACTAGTGAAGGTCTGACATAAAACTTATCCAACCAGAAGGCTTCACCAAGCCCTTCTGAGGGATATTGAAGCAACATTAAATAAATTCACCCTCATAGGCCAGAGTAAACTCCAGTCTCCAATAGATCACAAAAGTATCATTTATTGAGCTGCACCTGGTGGGCCAACTCATTATTGAGGCCATGACAACTTCTACCCTTGTTCACCATAACAGAATACTTCAGACATAATCATAATAGAGTCCACACTAAGACCAAGTTCATTGGCTCTAAGAGTAACAAGAATCTGAGTGACATTACTTTAGGACAGATACAGGAAAGGACAGATACAGGAATTTATACTGAATATCTGTTATTTATTTTCAAATATTGTTATACATCTAGGGAATGTTTAGCACTATATATCCCCCACTAAATGTAAAATGGATATGTGTATTTAAGTGGCAAGTCAACACAGAGTTCATCTTTATATTTAAAAGCTAAATACAGTGCAAGCACTTTTCAGTTTGGAAATTCTACAAGAACCTGTTTTATTCATTCCTAATGAGAGGTGAGGTTGCCAAACACCTATTACCTTTGGAGACAAAATATTACAGTGATTTTCAGGGGGAAACCATTGTTCTGGTTTTTTTCAGAAGTCTATTATTTCTTACTTATATCAATGGACATCATAAAGGATGTATTCTATTCAATTAAGAAAGCATACAAGCCTACATTTTAGATAAGTTTTAGTAATATTGACTTGCAATCACAATATTGTGATTACTTGATTACTTAATTATTCAAAATAGACAAACATTTTCTTTTTTGAGAGGCAGAATAATACATGGATTTGCTGAATACAAAGTAGTCTGCATGATTTGTTAGAACACATATGTGAGAAACTCTAGGAATTTTTGGAGTCTCCATGATGTCACCTTGGACATTGTCTATTTTTAGGCCCAAATCCATTAGTTGGCCTGAGGTTGATACAGCACCTTATTAAAGACCAGTGTTCATTGGCGCTAAAAGGAACATTTCCATAATTCTTATGCAACTGCATCTTCCTATGACAGGCTAGCTTTGTAAACTGTGATATAGGTGACCAGCTAAGAATGTGTTCTCTTGCTAGTGTTGCACAGGCACAACTAGACCAGAGATAAAACACTGTCACTTCCCCCAGGACACCAAGAGAAGCATCCTGTCATAAGAGAGAGGAAAAGATTTTAGTTGTTCCAAATCTAGTTCATTGTCACATACATAGTCCATGTCTAACTGACTGTGAGACTACTTTATTTTTCTGTGTCTTTAAAAAAAATCCTAGGACTGGTGAGATGGCTCAGTGGTCTAAAGAAGCTACTTAGAACAAACTTAGCAAAGCACAGGGACCACGGTTCAATCCCCCAGCACCACATGCCAGCCAGCCCCGCCCTCTGGTGGGCTGAGCTGGCCACACACACACACACACGTAAATAAATAAATGAATAAAATTTTTTTAAAAAAATCCTAGCCTAATTGGAGCTATATTTTGTTATTTTATAAGTATTTTATAAAGCCCTGATTACAGAAATGTGAAGTAAAGGAAAACAGAGGTGTGTGGCATAGATCATGCTAAAAGGAATAGCTAAACTGAACTCATATTGGTAATGTTCTCATACACAGTTGATTTTACATGCATGTTGCTAGACCCATCAAACCGTGCCTCTCTGTTTGTCCTTGATCTCTCTTATGAAAGAACTCTTTCATTCTTTAGGTACTGTGAACCCCTCTAAATGTGGCTGCCCCTTTGCCTTAAAGATGGCAGCATGCCAACTTCTCCTGGAGATTACCACCTTCCTAAGAGAGACCTTTTCCTGCTTGCCCCGACCTCGCACAGAGCCTCTTGTGGTAAGTTCAGCATGCGTGGTAATAATCAGATTTCTTAGGCCATAGTGTGCCGGGGTTTCCAGTATGCACCATTTCCTTAAACCTCCAATGGCTCAGTGTATCCCATAATTCAAATATCCAGCCAGTTATTTTTATACTTAAAAAGAAATACTCTTTTACATGTTGAATAACTCCAAAGTTGACTTTGCAATGACTAAGAGGTAGCACTTCAGGTACAATGTTTGATTACCACTAGTTATGCTAAGAACTCTTAAGTGCCTTAAGGTCACTTACACTGTTAATTATGAAGAGTTTATTTTGTTTTGTTTTTGTATTTTTAGTAAGGGCAGGGTCTCACTACATAGATTGGACACATAGTGATCTGCCTGTGTTCAGCCTCCCAAAGAGCTGGGATTACAGGCGTGTGCCGCCACACCCAGTCTCAATTGCTGTCTCAGTGCACCCCGGGGTGGGGCCAGCATGGAACGCCAAGATCAAACCCTGGCCACTGTACCTGCCTAAGCAGGTGTTTTAATTCACTAAGCTATTTGGCTGGCTCAAACTATGAGGATTTTGATGGCCACCTTCCCTGGAAATGATTGGTAGCCGTTTTTGCACTGTGTATAAGTTTATATGGAAATGTGCTTCAGTGAGTTTCCTCATATAAATTATAGATTCAAAGACTTCTGTGTTTAGTGTTTAAACGTTCCCAAACATAAATTATTATGGTAGCATTTCTTAGGAACTATGGATGGACAGAAAGCATGACCACATGCAAATATATACATATACAAATATGCATATGTGTGCCATGGTCCATCAGAACCTAATTTGCATAGCTGTTCATACACCTATTATGTAAGTCTACGGGAATTCACAGAGCATGTGGTGCCATGTCACAACTCAGAGCTGACCTTCCTTTGGCTTCTAGCTCCCTAATGGGCCATGTGTCTGGTGGTTCCTCCTCACAGGTGACATCCAGTGGGCAAACCAGGCAGTCTTTGCTCTATACCCCTTTTACACAAGGACTATACTACTCTCCCAGAGGAACGGTTAACACTGATCTGTGTGCTTCCACTCAAGCAACTTTTAGTCTTCGCTGCTTTTCCTGCCTTTTAATCAAATTCAGCATGCTCAAGGCAGCACCCTAGAAGTGATGTGGCTTTAGGGATGGATAAAAAAATTGAATAAAAAAAATCGCTCTGTTACCACAGAGGAGCACCTCCACCTTCAGTGTTGCATGACCTAGAAAGCCCATTTCCTCCATCCCACAACATGGCAAAAACAACAACAACAACAACAAAACATTACATGGTTGTCTTCAAGATAGAAGTATTTATGAGTAAAATGCATGTTTCCAAGTCAAGCAAAACCTTGAAACTGTATCACTTGGATATTGGAAAAGGATATTGCTCCTGGTTTCCTTCAGGTAACTTCACTGTAACTATGGCCTTTGATTTTTGAAATCATTGTTTTCACTATTGCACCGAGACTGCTTGCTACAGTCAAAGAAGGTCTCCTCAACCTATATACTTAAAATCAGTATGACATCTTACCTTCAGGCCTCTATCAGTATCAATTTTATAAATGTTTTAATTATACTGGATTCCATAAAAACACAAGATACACCTGCTTTTAAGTTTTCAGATTTTTGTTGTTCACCATTTTGATCCACATGTGATAAATAAAGGCTTAATTATTTTTGTTCTCTCTTTTAACACTCTAAAGCTATAATTTAATATTCCTTATTATTGTGACATATTTTACTTTTTAAAATATTGTATAGTCAAATGGCACATAGGAAATGCCAAGGAAGGAATCTGAAACAGGACCTGCAGCCATTTACTGAATAAGAGAAAAAGTTTACTTCTCCATCACCTTTCACTAGGCCCAAGAAACCTTTTATTCTTCAAACTAATACTCTCCTTGATAAGTGTGGGTCTGTGTATTGTGCTGACAGTTGGCATTTATAGAATAAAGGACAAATATGTCTTGGTATTTAAGATATCTATTGTTGATAACAGTAAAACCACATTACAATTTGCTGTGGAAAAAGTTGACGAGTATCATGAACCTGCTTTATCAACACAGAAATGCTTAAAATATTTTTCAATTGTGTTAAGAACACATCACACAAAATGAATCCTCCTAACACATTTTAAGCATCCAATACCTTATTGTTGACTACGGCCCTGAAAAAGAGATGGAGCCACCACTGGCTCAAGAAGGGGCTGCAAAGACTTGGGGAGCCACCTGAGGAGACGGCATGTTTGAGTATAGCTTGGTTGTATTAGGTAGGGTTCTGATGTGCAGATAAAAGAAATTGGAAAGGGCCGGCCAGATAGCTTAGCAGACTAAAGCACCTGCTTAGGCAGACACAAGGACCAGGGTTTGATCCCCAGTGTGCAGTGCCGGCCCCACCCCCAGGGCCCACTGAGACAAATGAGACTGGGCTTGGTGGCACGGACCAGTAATCCTGACTCTTGGGAGGCTGCAAACAGGAGGATCACTACAAATCCAGTCTATATAGTGAGATACTGTAGACCCTGTACTAAAATACCAAAAAAAAAAAAAAAAAAAAAAAGGAAAGGAATTGGAAGGTCCAATATCTCTAAAAGTTAGAACCAATATGGTATTACTTTTTGTCCAACTAAGAAATTTCTCTACTGTAGAATTGTACCCAGCAGAAAGTAGATGTTTTTCTTAAAAGAGAAATAATTCCATTCTTAAAGTATTTCCAGAAATGTTAAATAAATGCATCTCCTTTATTTTTGAGAACACAGTGTAATTTTATGAGTACCCAAGTATAATTTATATTCTTAATCCAAAAGGAAAGAAGAAATAACATGTAGAGGCTAAAATCTTATTTTATGTATGGCATTGGAAAGCATATGATTTTCATTTTCGTGCCAACTGAATTTTAAAGAATATCCACATGTATTTAATTCAGAGGTTTAGTATAATTAATAAAATACTGTATAAGATGGTTAGGATTTTATGAACTTTTTAATTTTACAAATCTTCTAAATGCTTTCTAGATAGATAATTAAACACAGTCTTATGAATAAAAAAAAAATCTATAGTCACGGATTAGGTGAGATTTTTCAACTTTGGCCTCAGAGGCCAAATTCCTGCTAAGTAAATTATACTGTCCTAGCTTAAAGGAGGGTGTCATTCTCTTTGTAGGGATGGTACCTGTCCTCCACTAGGTCTGCCAAGAAAAGAGTAAGAAATTCTACCATGTGGTCCTACTCTGAACCTCTCACCTTCACACATAAAGTTTCTTAACCCTGAACTGACTTTCCTTGTTTATTTGCCAAGTAATGTTATTCATCAAGATTTACCTTGAATGATATCTCATGTATCAGTTTAGATTTAACAAACAACATCAAATATAGTTAGTCTCCAAGCCTGATTTTCAACTTTGTCTCTTAGTCTTGGAATTTTCCACTTCTGACGTGTTGTCCCCTACCTTGGGGTTTAAGGAAAGCACCATGCCTTATTCATCCCATAATACTTAACACATTTGTACTCGATGCCTGATTGTTTTAATAAAAAGATAGAAGTTTAAAAAGTTAAAGGCACAGCTAAGCCATGTACGTGATGACAATTGGTGAAGAAGCTAGTTCTGGATTTGGACAAGGTCTGGGCTTTTGGAACATGAAGCATTGAAGCAGAAAGGAACAGCTCAGAATTGGGGAATGTTTTTTATTTACTTTCCAATTCCAGAATAGCTTCTCATTGCCATAGTCTAAAGTTAGGAACAGACAAAGGTATCTGGCCGCTTCCGTGCAGTCGTGTGTGATCCATGAGGGAGGGCGGTTTGCCGCGGGTCAGTGCAGTCTGCTGATGCCAGCACTCAGGGGCTCCTCAATGGCATTTCAGGACTTGGAGAGCTGCAGACTTCGTCTGGATCCTGAGCTGGACCGGCACAGATATGAAAGGAAGATCAGCTTTGCCGGAGTCCTAGATGAAAATGAAGACTCCAAAGATTCTCTCCATAGCAGCAGCCACACCCTCAAATCGGATGCAGGTGTGGAAGAGAAGAAAGGTATGAACCACAAGGATTAGTTCAGGGTTTTTCCAGGATATTTGGCCTACAGGATCTAAACTACAATACTTTGTGTCCAAATTGTTAGTTTCCTACTGTACCAAGCATCAGTAGCATCACTGAGGTAGGAAACCACACAAGGTAGAGGCTGCACTTCGCAGCCAGTGGAGCCCGCAATTCTAGCTCAACAGTTCTCCTTACCCCTCAGAGCCTAAGAGGGTTTCAACTTTGCAATGAACCAACCATTATTTTATTTATCAGTAGAAAAGGAAAAACTCTCTCAATTCAACTATGCAACACTTTATCATTTTGATTGCAATTTTGTACTGAAAAAGGACTTTCAGACTTAGTTCAATGTAAATTATTATTAATCATTAGGAAAAAGTACGACTGCAATTCACTGGATAAAGCATTTCTAAACACCCTCCAATTAAGAGTTCTAATTTGTTCACCCCTTTTGAACAAAAGTCACTGTCTGTGTTTTTCTGTAGGATGTATGTGCCATAGGAATGTCAGTGAGGCCTTGTTTCTGAAATGGATCTGTAGAAGAAGTGACGCTCTGTGTGCTGGTTACTTATGCCAGGTTGCAGTGGTGTGTGCTGGCCTGCTTTCAGTCCCCCCTCAGGACTGTCACTGCCACCCATCAGACCTACCCCTCACTCACCCTCCCACTCCTCACTGCTACTTAGTTCCTTAAAGCTTCATGAAAGACACAGTCTTTCTGTTCATCTTGCTACTAACACATTACACGTTCTGACAGACACAAGCAGTACCAAGGGCACCACGACTATTGCCTACGTGAGTGATCATGTGGTAGCATCAGTTGTGTGATAAATTCCAATTTCAAATATGTTGGAATATGGCAAGTGGCATATGCCTGTGATCCCAGTAGTTGTGGAGGCCAAAGCAGGAACGTTGTAAGGTGGAGCCCGGCATGGGCAAGTTAGTGACTTAGAAAGACTCTCTTTCAAAGTAAAAAATAAAACAGGCTGGGGATGCATCTCAGTGATAAAGACATAAAAAATGAAAATTTTTATTGCTTACCTTAACATGAGTTAATATAGTGGCTGTCCAATCTAGTCCAAGATGCTTATCTTTTAAACCATACTTTCACAAAATTGGGTTGGTAACACCTTCTATACTGTATTTACAGTTTTAATAAGATGATTCAAGGAAAGTATAAACTTAGTAACTGTCAAATAGTAAGTACATGATGAGTAACTTTTTTCATTCATACTTTTGCACATCATGAACATACATATTAGATCCCATGCCTGTCATCCTATGGAGTTTACAATATTTTAATTTGCAAAGGCTCCTATAAACTTCAACTTCACTATCTGACTTTGCTGTCTCTTAAATGTCATTGTCTTTCAATGCTTTTATTAAGAATTTCAATTAGAATGACATCTTCACATTTGTCAAAGCTGAGTTTATATGGTGAAATATTTTCTAGTGTCTGGTAGAAAGTGACAGTTCATATTTAATGGACTAACTCTGAGAAGGAATAGCCCTACTTAAAGAAAACATAAAATACATAAAGTCTGGTAAAGACTGTGTATGCACTGAGGAAGTTTTCAATATTTGAAGATGAGGCTGTGGTCATAGCATTTTGAAAGTGTAACTAATGATTATATCACATTCTACTGAATTCATAGGGAAGAGAGACCAGGTTGCAAGAAGGATCAGTAAATTCTGTGGGAATTTCTGAGTCTCACAAGTATCAAGTCAATAATTTTTCAATTACTATTTCTGTCTTTCAAATCTGTCCTAAATGTTTTTTTTTTAATTTAGAAGGCTATTTCTTGCCCAAAATTTTTATGTCAATTAGTATTTAAAGTAGTTGAATAAAAATTCCAAACACAGGGCCATCCAAATAGCTCAGTGGCCGGGGAGATGGCTCAGTGGAATAAGTGCTTCCCTGGCAAGCACAGGGGCCTGAGTTCAATCCCTGGTTCCGCAAAAATAAAAAAACAAAAAACCCCAAATATCTCTGTGAATTAAAGCCCCTGCAAGCAGGTACAGGGGCCAGGGGTTCAATTCCCAGGCCTGCCATGCTGGTCCTGCCCCCAGGGCACACTGAGATGGAAATTGAGCCTGGGCATGGGGGCATGCGTCTGTAATCCTAGCACTTGGGGGGCTGTAAACAGGTGGATCGCTATGAGTCTGATCTAGTAGTGAGACCCTGAACACTCTGTAGACACCTAAAATACAAAAAAAAAGAAAGAAAAGAAAAAGAAAGAAAAAAAGAAAGAAAGAAAGAAAGAAAGAAAGAAAGAAAGAAAGAAAGAAGAAGAAAATTCCAAACACTACATGGTTAACTTTGAGCAAAGTAAATCCTGTGTGTCCTTTTAAAAATTTTAAATATTTAATTACTTTTTAGGAATTTTAATTTCATGATTGTGATTTATGCAAGCTGGCTTCAGTGTTCAAATAATCCTATGCTTAGTATTTTTTCTCCTCACCAAAGGGCTCTGTTGCTATATAAAAGTATTTAAGTGAAAAGCACAAAACTGAAAGTATAAAATGAGGTAGCCATAAAATGTCTATAATCGGTTGACAGAAATCTTCCCAAAGATTCTGAAATGTCCTTTAACCCATTTGACAAGTTGAAATAAGATGCCAAAACCAACATGATGATGGCGCAGATAGGGACCTTGCTAGTCACAGTTTAGTAAAACTTTTAAAACATTTTCATACCAACTGTTTTTATAAGAACTAAATATGTCAGCTTGTGAAATACAAAATCTTAGAACAATTTAAATTCTCCCAAGAAAAACTGATATGAGCTAATCCTTACAACTCAAAATAAAGTCTTCAGAGTTTATCAAATCAATTTACTCAGATTCCAAATATAAACTAAAGCCATCAGCCCTATATATAAATACCAAGTCTAATTTGCCATCCACTTGCTGAGCACCTAGTATACACAGAAACTACTATATCTTCTCAAAATACAGTAATGAACAAGAAAAATTTCCTGCATGTATTTCTACTTATATGAATAGTTTAAAACAACCATATTTACCCACATTCCCAGGACTATTCCAAAATACCAGACTTCCCAGTGGCAATAAGTAATATAAAAAAAAAAAAAAACAGGGCTGGCCAAGTAGCTCAGCAGATTAAAGCACCTGCAAGCAGGCACAGGGGCAGGGGGTTCAATCCCCGGGCCTGCCATGCCTGTCCCACCCCCAGGGCACACTGAGAGGATGATTGAGACTGGGTGTGGTGGCGTGTGCCTGTAATCCCAGCACTTGGGAGGCTGTAAACAGAAAAATCACTACTAGTCTGATCTAGTAGTGAGACCATGAATACCCTGTAGACCCTTCCCTAAAAAAAAAAAAAAAAAAAAAAAAAAAAAAAAAAAAAAAATACAGAAAAAAAAGTAATATAAAAAAACAAACTATGATCTGGTTGTAACCCAGATCAAAATGAATGTAGTTAAAAAAGGTGATCATGATTGACACTGGCAGAGACCCTAGCTTATGCAAAGAGCCAGCAAGGCAGACAGCTAAGGAAGGAGGAGTCCACACAGGCCACAGTGAGAATGTGGCTGTGATGCCAGAGTGAACTTGCAGCATTTGAGGAGGGCAAAAGCCCAGCCTGATTACCAAGGTAGTCTTGGTAAAAGAGAGATAGGAGATGGATCAGGAAACGAGGCAGGGGTCAACAGGATCTGGCGGATACGGTCATCAGTTTGATTCCATTTTAAATGTGTCAGAAGGAGGTTGAAAGCTTGAGCATTAGAATGATATAAGGTGTGTGTTGTGATTTGTGGATTTAAAGTACGCCTGCACTCCTGTAGTGGGGCGAAGGTGCAGCAGTTTTAAGCAGCTCTGTTAGTCCAGGGAGGAGGGAGGAGGCTTTCAAAATCCTAGGATGTGTTGAAGCATAGAGCCAGCAGGATTTGCTAATGGAAGAAGGGTGGGATAAGAGAAAGGAAGAAAGAGATGTTACCCAATTTAGATGAATTTATCTCACTTTCACACGTGCTCACGTTGTCATGGAGATGAAGGCTGGTTCAGTGCAGTACAGTCTCAGCGGACTCTTCGTGTACAAAGCCAGCCCTGCATGCTAACTGCTGGGTCCCTCGTAACGAACCTGTGTCACATTATGAGCCCAAAGTTGCAGTGCTACAAAGTAGCTCAGATTATATTTGGTGCCAGAACAAATACTGAACAGTAAGTCTTTTCCAGATCACATTAATTTGGGAAGGTAGAAAAAATCCAAAACTGAGGCAAAAAATGTTAGCAAGACCGCCATAAAAGTCTAAGAACAATCACGTCAATCTTTTTCTCTATCTCTCAAACTACTTTGAAATGAACTTACTCTACGTAGCCATTAAAAAATGACAGTTCTATTGTTTCAAACCTATTTCAGGTGAATGATAGTCTCAGTTATACCTAAAAATAATATGGAAAATACAGTTGGATGAGTTTTGTGCTATAATTATAGTTAATTACAATTAACATGCAGTGGTATGGAATATAGTTTTATAGAATTTAATCCAACTCTGCTGAAAGAAATTTCTTCCAGATGTGAAATTCTGTCCAGGGAGCTCTGTGAGGCCTTTCCCAGCTGCGCAGTGATAATTTTAGTCTTTCTCAATCACAGCAGTAAACTAGAGAGTCAACGGTTATATTGGGAATGTTTAATGGGAGTTCTTCAGGGACCCTTTATGCAACATTGATATGCACTGAAAATGTATATTTGATGAATACTTTAAAAAGTTATGCAAATTTTATTATAGCCACGTATTAACTCCCCTATGAATGAGAAATGATGCTAAAATGCAGACTTCCCCATTGGAATGTCAAAAAATTATCGGTGGCTCTGCCTTAAATAATTAGGAAAAAATCCTGCTTACAGTTTTAAAAAGCAAGCTCATAAATTGGACATCTTCCTAATAACAGACTTTAAGCCTTGAACACTTTCTTCATGCTACTCTTCTAAAATATCAATATTGACAACATCAAAGGTTCAAAGAAAAAAATGAAAAAAGAAATATATATGATATAAAATAAGGATACTTTCAATTAGAGACATAGATGCGAACTTTAAACATATTTCTCTTCCCGTTTCACTTCCCCCAGCACTGACTTTCTTCCAGATAACTAACAGTGAACAATGCATGACTTCCTTGGGACACATAGACTGTCAGGTCTGCTCAGGGGGTCGCAGCGCTTGGGCCAATGTCACATCAGCCTTTTCACTGAGACGAGGCTGCTGTGAAATCCCTAAGTGCCCTGAAAACAGAATCACTTCACAGGCATGCTCCCCACTAGCACCCCGCTGGAAACAGCTCCCCTAGACCGTTTGCTGAGGGGCAGGGCAGAACCCACTGCTGGTTGCTGGAGAGAGAAGCGCTCTCGTTTTTTATTTCCTAATGAGGTATTGTACAAGTTAAGGGTTTCTAGCACAGCTCACAGCATTCTTTAAACTCCATTTCCAAAGAAAACCAGAGACAAACGGTTTGTGGTTCTGCCGGGTCCGAATCACGTGGTGGGCGTGTACGCGCAGTTCTAGGTGCTGCCCCTCTAAGGTGCTCTCATGCTTGTGAACCCTGGGCCAGAAAGAAAGCAGATTGTTCCCAGCCCCCATGAGCGCTGTGGTCGAGAAAGATGCTGCGCCAGCCCTTCCCGGTGGCCTCAGCCTCCTGCCTGCCTGAGCAAGCCTGGTGAGGGGGCCTCGGTGGGACGCCCCCTGGACGCAAAAGCTGCTCTTCCAGGCCGACAGAGGAGGCTGATCAGAGACCAGCTGGGAAGAGCCTGGATATAACATTGGCTGGGGAAAACTAAGGGGGGGAAAGCCCTATTTTATTCTTTTAATACAGTTCCCAGCAGGAAGATCAGGATAGGAGGTACCCGCCTGCTCCAGATTAAAGGAACCCGCAGTTTCCAGGTGAAGAAGGGGGGTTCCTTGTCCAGCATTCGCCGGGTCGGCAGCTTAAAGAGCAGCAAGTTATCACGGCAGGACTCAGAGTCTGAGGCTGAGGAGCTGCAGCTGTCCCAGAGCAGGGACACTGTCACTGATCTAGGTAACATAGAAGAGTGGGGTGTGCAGGGACGTGGGGGGTAGGAAGCCAGGACCAAGGTCCTGGTCCAGCTCAAAGTCCCTTTTGTTACATGTACAGAGACACGGAGCAGAGCCAGAGGAGCACAGCTCACACTGCTGAAAACCACACACCCTCCCGAGCAGGCTGCTTCTCTCTCTCTCTCTCATACACACACACACACACACACACACACACACGCACGCACGCACGCACGCACGCACGCATGCAAGAAACTTGTTAAAAGTGCACATTCTGATTTGGCAGATCAGCGTGGGAGAAAAAGGCTACATTTATAACAAGCTTCCTGGGGAAGCTGCTGCCGCTGGTGGCCAAGCTTTAAGAGCTGCACTTTGAGCAGCACAGCTAGAGAGTGACATTGGAGAGCATGTTTTCCTGGCAAGGGCAGTTTTAGAACTCCAGATGTTTGTGTAGCCAATACTTCCGATCAGGGCCTCCAAAGTCAGGTGAAATGCTCCTAAGGACAGATTCCCTAAAGGCTCTTCCTATTTTAAAATCTCTATGTAAAGTTTAAAAAAATCAGTGAAAAAAGATTCTCCAGACCTGAAAATAGAGGATTAGGCAAGTCCCTTAATTTCTCAGGAATGTGTATTCTCCAAATAGCCAATGTGAATAATTCTATTTACTCCTTGCAACTCTGCAGGGAAGCTCGAAAGATAAATTAAGAGATGACTCCAGCGTGCTCACTACATGACAATGAGCTGTGCAGAACCACCAAAGCAGTAGCATTGTCACTGTGGACCTAAAGAAGCTTCAACTCCCAAAACGTATTAGTCCAAAATATGGGCCCTGATGAGCATCTTAATAGACACGATTAAGTTCCAAGGAAAGATTAAGTAGGCATGAAGACAAGGCTCACCAGCTGTTGGGTAAACGTTGAAGCACATTCTCTGCCATTTAATCTCTAGTTTCAAGTCAGCAGTACAATGCAGATAAACAATTGACAAATCCAGCTAAACAGAAGCTGAATATATTCTAATCAACGAAGGTTTAAAATAGGAAATGCTTCCACATCCACCCACTTTCACCTTTGAAAAATAGCTAATTTATACATAACTTAAGATTTTGCTTATTTTTAAAGGGGACAATAGAAAAAAAAACACTGTGGCTTCTATTGTTACAGGGCTGAAGCTATCATATTATGACTAGTTTGGGGAAAATTATTGCAATTAATTGTTTGGATTGATCAGTTTGTCCTGAGAAGTTGACTCAAAGTAGTTAGGCAAGAGATCGTGTTTTATCATTTTTTTAAAAACCCATAAAAAAAATTATAGACTTGGGGACAAAGCTTTGTGGGTCATACGTTGAGCGGTGAGTTCCTAAAAGATGTTTCCTTTATACTTTCCCCTAGAGAGAACATGAGGGCTGTCCACAGTTTGAAAGCTGTTGTCTTTGAATCGTCTGAGAGCAAAGCCTAAGGGCTAAAATAGTACCGCTAGCTACAGTCACTGCCACAGCAGAGGTAGCTATGTACTCTGAGGCCACTGCAGGTCAGTTAGTGCCTCTGTTTCACTACGCCTGTAAGGTCTGGTTAGTGTGGAATGCATTTGGGCACATTTGACCTCTAACTAGCTTATCTTGGCAATTCAAGGACTTGGCTTTGTTTTATTAGGCTTCTCCTCTGCTCCCATCTCTCAGAATGGAAGCCACCATGATAGAGACCATGAATGTCTTTGAAGTTGTCAGTTCAGTTGGTGGTGGTGGGAATGGCTCCTATCCATTCATCCTCCCCCCAAGCCCTATGCCCTGTAACCTACTGGGCCATGGTAGTCTGCCCTAGGACTCAAAAGCATGGACAGCCTTACCTACTGATATGCTCTGCAGAGAGACAGACCACTGAAACCTTTCTTGGTGTTTTGTTTTGAAGAAGGGAGCCCTTGGAGTGCAAGCGAACCTAGCATTGAGCCTGAAGGAATGAGCAATGCCGGCACAGAGGAGAACTACCACAGGAACATGTCCTGGCTTCATGTAAGTAGGAATCTGAGGTCAGTTTCTTACAGCATTGGGAAAGATCAAAAAAGGAGGGCAAAATACTATACCAGAACCATCAGTCCAGGTTAGCTTCCAGGAGAAAGTTATATGTAAGCAAAATAAACACATACTATGTTTGGTTTTTGACTGAAGTGTATTCATTTTACGCTTAAGGGGACTGGGGATTTGGCTCAGCCATAGAATGCTTGCCTAGCAAGCTGGAAGCCCTGGGTTCAGTCCTCAGCACCAAAAACAAAAAATAAAAATAAAAAATAAAAAAGAGCTTAAGTAAGGCCAAAGGTCTCTTCTTAAGGCTCAGGTGTGTGTCACTGTAAGTCAAAGGAAACAACAAGGGACCGGGCCAGGGTGGTGATCAAGATTGGCTGAATGACACATGCTAGGCATGATGATCAGCTTTCTACAGGTTGCCATGAAGGTGAGACAGGGTTGCAGTGTCAGTCCTGAGTCTGTAATAGATCCTGTCATAAACTAGGACAAGGAGAGTGAAGGGCAACAGGGTGACAACTCAAAGGGATATCCTTTAGGGCACAGGCAGGAAAGAACCTAAGGAAACTGTGGGCGTAGGGTGAAGCTCAAGATTTGAGCTGGGCATGAAGAAAGAAGGAAGAAAGGAAGAAAGCATAACCACAGGTGTGCAATGGCAGCGAACCCCCCAACACAAGTATTTGTCATAGTTAGAGACTGACACCGTGACTCTTATTTCCATCTGACTTGTGTTAGAGTTAGGTAACAGCTAACATAATACCCCTCCAATGATGCAGCATGTGCCTTCACTATGAAGGGACACCCCAGAATTGGTGGTTTGGAGACTCTTTGAGGCAACTGTTTCTTCAAGTGTTTAGTAGAGTCTAAACTACATACTGAGGGGCTGGGGACATGGCTCAGTGGAATAAGTGCTTCTCTGGCAAGCACAAGGGCTTGAGTTCAATCCTTGGTTCTACCAAAAGAAAAATAATTTTGGGGCCGGGGAGATGGCTCAGTAGAATAAGTGCTTGCCTGCTAAGTGCCAGGGCCTGAGTTCAATCCCCAGTTCAAAAAAAAAAAAAAAAAACCTACATGCTGAAAGACACGAAACCTATGTGTACAGATCAATGTGTTTGCTAAGTAAACACACTCGAGTCATCACTACAAGGTCCAGGAGGACATCAGCAGCACTCGAGAAGCCCTGCATGTGTCCCCCCAACCCTAAACCACTCTCCTCCCTGCCTAGAAAACATCACTCAGCCTTCTGATGCCATGGATTAGTTCTGGCTGTGCTGAAATTGCATAGAACTAGCATCACACACTCTTCTGTTCCTTTTGCTCATGTAAACATTCATCCTCTTTGTTCTTCTCAAGAACAGTCTGTCCTGTTCTCAGCTAGGTTTGTTTCTATTTATGTCAATTCCACTTTAAAAACTTTCAAGACAGCCTTGCATTTAATACAGAAATTGATTAAAATTTAGAAATTGAAATATTTATGAGGTGAGCCTTGCAGTTAATATAGAGATGAGTTAAAATTGGGGCATTGAAATATTTATAATTTTAAGCCTCCCAGTGCTTAAAATGTTCTGTCCCTTGATTGATTTATGTCCTTACAATTATTTAGCACCTAGATAGTGTTCAAAATGCCTTTAGGTTTTTTGTGTGGTGTTGCGCACATGAGCACTCTCTGTGAGTGTTGGCATCAAGTCAGGATTTTTATTTAAATATTTGAAAGAAATCACTGGTAAAAACTTTTAGACCTTAAAGTTCTTTGAACAAGGGATTGAAATTACAGATTTGATTTATGTAACACAACTAATTAAGACTATTCAGATATTATCTTTCTTCTGGAAGCAATTCAGATAAATTGGATTTTTTTGCCTTTTTTTGCTTAATAAGAACACAAATTCTTTACTTTGAAGTCACTTAAAATCCTGTAGAAGCTATGATGATATGTCTTTATCATTATGGATATTGATAGATTGTCTTCTCTCTTTTTTATCAATCTTCTAGAATTTTGTCATACTCATCTTTTCAAGGAATAGGTTGTAGTTTTGTCCTTTTTGTAATAAACATTTGATTTTTTTTGTTTCATTCATTAATTTCTGCCATTATTTTATAGCTCTCTTTGAATTTAATTTGTTTTTCTTTCCTTAACTTGTTGACATGGATACTTACAGAATTAATCTCAATTATTTTGCTAGTTTAATAATTTAAAGTTTATAGTATGATCAAAAATATGGTGAATGCTTATCTTTAAAAAAATTTTACTATAGTGAAAAATAATATTGCCATTAATCTTCCTCAACTGTTGTTTTCTGTGTTGTGTGTAATCAAACTGTTGAGGCTGCCTCAATGTCCTGAATAGATTCAGAAATTTCACTTTTCACAGCCTCTTTGATTTTGGGAAAGCTCCAAAGTGTGTCCATGTAATGAATAAGGTGGGAGAGAGAACACTGTAATTGTTCACAAGCCTGCTTCCTTTGGATGAAACTTGGCAGCAGCACTCACTAAGACCCTACTGAAAAGGATCTTCCAAAACTGCTTCAGAAAGTGGCAAGTGGGGCTGGTGAGATGGCTTAGTGGTCTAAAGCACCTACTTAGAACAAGCTCAGCTAAGCAAAGCACAGGGACCACGGTTCAATCCCCCAGCACCACATGCCAGTCAGCCCTGCCCCCTAGTGGGCTGAGCTGGCCACACACTAAATAAATAAATAAATGTTTAAAAAAAAAAAAAAGAAAGTGGCAAGAACAGGGCCGGCCAGATAGCTCAGTGGATTAAAGCACCTGCTTAGGCAGACACAGGAGCCTGGGGGTCAGTCCCCAGCCTGCCGAGCCAGCCCCTCCCCAGGGGCATGCTGAGATCAGGACTGGGCGTGGTGGTGCACACCTGTAATCCCAGCACTTGGGTGGCTGAAAAACAGGAAGGATCCCTAAGAGTCTGATCTTGTAGTGAGATGCTATAGACCCTGTACTAAATTCATAAAAAAAAAAAAGAGGAAGGAAGAAGAGAGAGAGAGAGAGAGAAAGAGAGAGAGAGAGAGAGAGACAGAGACAGAGACAGAGACAGAGACAGAGACAGAGACAAGAACAATAAGCAAGGGAGAGGAAGCAAGTAAGAATCTCCTGTTACTCCTCTTGATATTTTTCCTTAAGGTGCCCAGTAATTTCACTGACTACTAGGTATGGTAGGTGAAAATTTTAGAATACTGTTAGAAATGTGACATTACATATCTGTCAAAATCCAAAGGATGTTATATTATCTATTTTTATTATCAAATCTGTTGCTCAGATTAACAGATATAGTTATACAAGATTGAACAAATAATTGAATATTAACACCTGCTTTCAAGAAATCTTAATTTTTTTCTCTGTCTTTATTTTAAAATTTATTTTAAAGAGAGTATAATAATTGATAAGACATTAGAAACAGTACACATTTAGAAGACCAAGCTGAGAGGTATTCAGCAATAGGTTTTGTATTAATAGATGATAAAACAACCATTGTTAATTAGCTATTCCTGTTTTAAAAATCTGTAACAGATGCATTGTTATATGTTACCCTTTTTCTGTCATTTATTCTATTTGTTTTTGCTTCTGTTTTACTCTTCAAAATAAAATTAAATTATTTTTTTTTAAAAAAGTATTTTGAAAATCCTAAAGGATATACACCAAGAGAGTGCCCTAATATGAAGGGCAGACTATAGGGCATAATAAATGTAGCACTAGGGAGCAAGATGTGAGTGGTAAGGAAGGTTGCTCGTGTGGGCACGGGGTGTATCTGGGAGATTTCCACTCCTTCTGTATTTGACTGTGTATCTAAAACTGCTCTACAACATGCAACCTATTAGTTTAAAAATTACAGGACTGGCCAGATAGCTCGGTGCATTAAAGCACCTGCTTAGGCAGAGTGCAGCGGCCAGGGTGTGATCCCCAACATGCCGTGCTGGTCCCATCCCTGGGGTGCACAGAGATGGCGATTGAGACTGGGCGTGGTGGCACGCGCCTATAATCCCAGCACTTGGAAAGCTGAAAACAGGAGAATCACTACAAGTCCAGGCTGTATAGTGAGACCCTGTAGACCCTGTACTAAATACATATATATATATATATATATATATATATATATATATATATATATATGCACAAAGGTTCTATATGTTGTTATTTCCCTGTAGAGAACATTATTCCTGTCCTCTAGCAGAACAGAAAACTATATTACGTCAATCTAATCAGGAACTAAGCTTTCTTTCCTTGGGCTGTTAAATGTCTATCAACATGTTCCCTTTTTGGCTTATTTTCTTAGTGTTTTCTTGATTATCCAGATTTAAGAGTGAAAAGAGAATCCCCGGGAGATCCTACATGTGGTCTGCCTCATGCTAGGATAAAGAAAGAATATCCGGGGAGATACAGTGAATCTCAGAAGACTGGACATTTCGAAACAAAATGGTTAAAAGCTTTGAAGGGTGCGAGATGTTGTCACTGAATTTGATAGGAGTATGGAGTTTCTTGTTCTTAATCATCCTTTTTCTCAGAATAAGCAAGTTCCCTTGGTCTGCCCCTGGCTGCTGGGTTGAGTCTCAGGGGTGTTTGTATTCCAGGTCATGATCTTGCTGTGCAATCAGCAAAGTTTCATCTGCACGCACGTGGACTACTGTCATCCACACTGCTGCCTGCACCATAGCCGCTCCTGCGCCCGGCTGGTCAGGGCCATTAAGCTGCTGTACGGAGACAGCGTGGACTCACTACGAGAGAGCAACAACTTGAGCAATGTGGCTCTGCGGGGCAAGAAACAGAAAGAGGTAAGAGAACCACCGCTAGGCAGATACCTACGATGGGAGAATGGCCCCTAGCCATGTTCTCTGGAAGGACAGAGTGTCAGGCAACTGTGGTGGTGCAAAGCAAGCTACGGATCTGTGTGTAGTTGTGAGGCAAAGGTAGAAGATAACACAGGGCCTCTGTCTTCGTGTTCATGAGTGAACATTGGACTCTCTCCAGGTTTTGTTTTATTTCACTAAATGAACATGAATTTATAAGGGTGGTGGTGAGGAGTTAATACCCGGGCTGGACAGAAAGCTGCCTCTCCCACAAAGATGCTTGCATCCTACTTCCAGGAACATACGCATGAGTTACTTCACATGATAAAAGGCTTTCCAGGTATAATTAGGGGTATAATTACACTGGGATGGTTATCCTATGTTAATTAAATTATAAAGATCTTTTAAATTAAGAAGGGAAGTGGAGGTGGAGAGAGAGATGAAAGGACAGAAGCAGAGGTTGGGTAGGGCGTGGCCATGAGCTAAAGAACAGTGGCTGCACCTGGAAGCGGGAAGACCAGGAGTGGAATTGCTCTCTAGCCTGCAGGAGGAGGAGAGCCCGGATGATCCCGCTTAGACTTCTGGCCCTGAGAGCTTTAGGGTCATAAACTAGAGTCATTTTAAGCCATGAAGTGTGTGGTAATTCGTTAGAACAGCAAAACATGACTAATGCAGTCGTGTATTATGGAACAAGCAGTAAACAGCCTGACTGCTCACAGACAAATAATAGAGTAGCTGAGTTCAGGTCAGACTAAAGGAAATGCAGCTGCCCTTTTCAGATAGCTAGCCTGAGCAGCTGAACTGGCAGAAGATAAGAACAGCGACAGGGCTTCTGGGCTTTTGCAGTGGAAGCCCTGACTTAACCAGCTGCCCCTGAACAGACACAAGAGCCAAGATGCATGACTGAATGCTGTGGGTTGCCCCTGCAGCTGCTGGCCCCAAATAGTTTTGCAAAGAGATTTTCATGTAACACCTATTCGTTTCCACAAGTATTCATTATGCACCTGCTATTGGCACAATATTTGGCCAGATAATCTGTAGAAAAATAAATAGGAGCAAAGGAAGTTTGTACTAAGGAGTTCATCCAGAAGGTTTGGGCTTAGAATAGGCAGTGAGACATCCATCAAACAGTTAGAGAATAAAAGGATAAAAGCTGAAGTACAGTTGGGTTGTGTAACCATGCCTTGTGCTATAGCAGTCACAAATGGACTTTCTGAAATTATGACATTTCATTATGAAAGCAATACATAGTTACTAGAGAGATTTTAGCTAACATGACAGATCCTAATGAAAAAAATGTTATGTCTCATAAGTGCACTACATTAGCTTCTGGGATTTGGTCTTCTAACCATGTGGGAATATATGTGAGATACATATATATCACTCACAAATTTCTGTCTGTTTGTTCCTAGTTACAGTGCTGTGAATTGAACCCAAGTCTTTCTGCATGTTAGACAAACACTTTACCACTGAGTTACATTCCCAGGTGGACAGAATGCTTTTTAAAATCGTAATAAGCTTTATGCAAGAGGTGTTTTGTTCTTCATTTTAACAGTGAAAACCTCGATTCTCAGCTAAATGAGATTGTCCACAGTTTGCATCTATAACACAGTAGCTACACTTTAACTTAGAAATACGAAATACCAAAATCAGGGCCTTTTAACTATTTTGTATTGTGTCTCATCAAAACTGTGCAAATTCTGAGATTATGAAAATGGGGAAAAGATGAATCTGAATCACAAGAAAGTACATAAACTGCTGACGAATGACATAAAAATGTGTATACAGGTTTTGTATGTGCATCTCTATATATTTATATAATGTATTTTAAACATAAAGAACCCTACATTCAAC